CCCAGACTTGAAGGCTTGTAAAACCTTCCAGGAAGGGTTGGAACCACGAGCTGTCGGCTGAAGTCTGGAGGATATTTCAGCTGTATGTGAATTTTATTTGACAACCTGTCACAGATAAATTTGTAGCTCTAAAACTTGCAGCTGTCGGTAGCTAAAGAGAGAGCTGGCTTACAGGTGCTTCGTGTCAGACTTTTTTTTTTTTAACTCTAGGGATCTGACTGTGTAGTGTTTGGCAGAGAGGTAGTTACCTACTCATTAGATACTCGAGTAGTACAGTAAATTCTGTACTCGGAAAGGTATTTCCTATACCACTTCCAATAATCTACACGTACTAGGAGCTGCTTGATTATTTTTTTCATGTAGTAAAGTATGACTAGGGCAGGAAAACACAAAGTAGATGCAATGTTTTTCATTTCGGTAGAAGGTCTCTTAGGTAAGCTGAACTAATGATGAGATCTCCAGTTCTTGGTTGATCTTAGTTTGTCGGTAACTGGGGTTTTACACCCAAATTGAGTCATAGTTTTTCAGTCAGCTCCCTCTGCTGGCTTTTGAGTAGCGAGACACAAATAGATGTACGCAACGACCTCTAAAGATACTCAAGAACTGGGGCGTCTTTCTTTAGCCTGTCTTCCCAAAACAGTGCCTAGTTGAGAATACCTAACGAGTAATTAAGGACTAATCTACTAACTTGGAAGAATATCTTATACATTACCAGGGGTTTGAACAAGACCTCGTCCTTTTTCTTCATGCCAGTTGTCTTCAAAAGTGAAATTTGAAGTGCTTTCAGCCATTGTCTTTATTTTTTAAATAGTAATGTGCAGAATACTTGTCAGAAAAGCAAAAGTATTTTAGGAGGAAAGTTATTTTGACTTCAGAAATCACACTTGTTCAGGCAGTTTAATTTCTTTGCATTAAAATTTTTAACAAAGGAAAAATTGAACTAAACGATTAGGCTCTTTACCATGAATAATAATGGCATAATGGCTTTTGATGCTCTTGTATGGCTTAAGAAATTACTAAAGTCTGATGCATGCCCTTTATTTAGTTTTGCTGCAACTACATTTGTGCTTATCTTTTAATGCTGCCCCTTTTTGGAAGATGAGGACAAGGAAGCCTCCCTGCCCAGTAGAAAAAGTGTGGGTAGACAAGCACAAATACGATGAAGCAGAGAGACTGCATTACGAAAGAGAAGCGATGCTAGCTGCTGCGGCCCCGGAGGAGTGCCCGGAGGTAGAGGCTGTCAACGGAGTCTGCAATGACGACTCTGTTGAAAGTGAATTCAAGGGAGACCTGAAGAGAGCAAGGAATGGAAAGAAACAAAGGAAACGGAAGCGTTCTCCAAAACCCAAAAATGTGACCGCAAAGCTGGACGCTGTTCTGACTGGTTTGTTAGCTGACCACGTGTGGTTTGACAAGCCTCTCTATGATCACGCTGAGAACCTGTACAGGAAAAAATTAGTGGATTGTCAGAACCAGGAAGCACCGGAGACTGAACTAACTGCTGAGCAGTCCCCTTTAATGGCCAGATCAAAAGCTGTCCGAGATGTTCCTAAGCCGAGGAAGCTTTCAGCAACCCTGCCTTGCTCCCATGGTAGTCTCTCTGCCTGTCACCATGTTGTTCAGGGTGTCTGGGTCAACAAGTTTGACTTTGATAAGGCTGAGGAGATGTTTATTGAAAAATCTCAGTTCTTTGTTCCTCCAAATGTCCTCACCATCCCGTCCGAGTGGTCAAATGCTGCCAACGTTGGGCTGAGAACGCCGGATGAGGGCTATGTTACAGCCCTGCCTACTCCTGCTACGCCAAGCTTGGCTCCAGACGTCGTTGCTGATTCTGCTGCTTCCTTCGTTACCGGTTTGCCTGGCTCTGTACACCAGACGGTAAATGGCAAGCCACAGATTTCAAGCTTGCAGGCTCTCATGTCAGAGGTGTGGTTAGAGAAACCTCTCTATGATGATGCCGAGAAGAGCTTCTACGAGAACATGTTTGACGGTCATCCATCGGGCAAAGTCAGGCAGCAGCAACGCGAGCGCCCCGAAGCATTGAAGAACCACCGCGAGGACAGGAAGACCAACCACAGCCTTGGAAAGCAAACGGACATCAAACACGTGGAGATCGCCACCAACTCTCTGCTTCCCAGTCACGCTGAGCAACCTCCGCCTACCTGCTTTTTTCTGCACAAGGACAGCGAAACTGTGTGGCTTAATAAGCCGACATATGACAGCGCAGAGTCACGATACTATGCAGCCAAGGCTCTCAAAATCTCAAGAACAGGAGAGAGTACGGAGATGCAGGAATCCGCAGTAGTAAAACCTTCCCAACCAGCTGCTTATGCTTCAAGCGTACCTGCGCCAGAAACGAAGTAGGAGAAATTTATTCTGGGGTAACACTCACACATGCAAAACCGCCGGGTCAGGATTGAGCTGAAAGAATTTGCATGTGTAAGAAGACGGGTGTCCTTTCTGTCTGCAGGACCAAGCGTGCGTGCTGCTCCTGAGCCAGGGAGCCTGTTTGCGGGTGGGATAACTGGGGGAAACTCCTTCAAGGAGCTCCCTTCTGATGAGTCCTGGTGGCTAAAGGTAGTATTTGTGTGGTGTCAGAGGTTAAGCATTTAAAGTCAGGGCTGGTGAGCTAAGGTTTGACCCCCTTTTTACATGGGGAGAACCTAGGCCCATGCCCCTTTCTGTATTCCTATTACATACAAAAAGTTACAAAAGTGAGAAGTTGGAGGGGAGTAATCACGTGGTTTAAAAATGCAGAAGATGCAATGTTTTGTCTTTGAATCTGAGAGGTTAAAATGGTGGCTGTTTGCTGTGTATTTCTGTTAAAAATGCCACAAGGTCCTTCAGAGAAGCGGTTATCCCCAATTCTGCTGAGCCCATGGCCTAGTCGTTGAGTTACGTGTGAGAGGTGACTACGTTTGAGCATCACTACCAGTATCCAGCTTGAAGAAGGCTTGGGGATGACAGTAAAATACAATCTAGGGCATCAGTCCGGTGAGAACGTGTGCTGTAGTTTTTTTGAGGGAGAAGGTGGTTAGACTGTTCAGTCTGGAAGCTGCTGTTAATTTTGGGAGAGGGCTAGCAGGACTGCGGCTCGCTTGATGTGCCTGGATGTAACTGGGCAGGAAGAGCTCATTCTCAAATTGTAGATGACCTTCATAATTGTAACTTGCAGTTATAAATCAGTTTACAGACAGAAACATTTAAAGACTTCCTTTTAAAGTCCCGAATGAGGCACAGTACGATACCATGCTTTCTGTGTTAAATATGTGCTTTTACCTTGTGACTGGGTGAACCCTGAAGTTGGCTGCACGGAGGGCTGTGGTGCCCCGGGAGCCTGTCCGAAAGCCACTGCTTAGATGTTATTTTGCACTGCTAAGGTAGAGACTGATGTTCTTGGAAAAAAGGCTCTTGGAGCATCATTCCTTATTTCTGACATTTCTGATCCTTGAGTTTGTTAGGATTTGTTGTAAAGGTTTTCAGATCTTTACATCAAGTGATGTAGAGGGTTACAGACAAGCTTTAGAGCACACACACTTTTCACCCTGTCCTATTTGGGATAATTTTCTCTTTAGTTGGACAGAACTAGATATTTGGTTGTGCCTTTCAGCCTTTCCCAGGAAAATCCAGGTGTCATTGTGAAATAGATGGTGTAAGTTTGTCTGTAACTGGGATTCTCTATGAATAATACTGGTTGGCAGCTCAAGCAGGGTCTTGGAAGTTTGAGTGCTGAGAATGTAGAGGACCTGTATGGTATGGTGGCCTCTGGACTGGTCTGAACAGGTAGGCGAGAAAGGTGCTTGTTTTACAGAAGACTCATCTGTTGGCTTCCGTGGAGCTGTTTTACTGGAGAGCTGTGGGGTTTTGAGCTGAAATGGAAAGGGTCTGTGGGTTGCTATTAGCTGCTCTCTCTGCGTTGTGTAGTGGAACCTGGTAACGGTGCGGTTTTGTTGTGATGCTCTATCCCCGCTCTTGCCACCTCCCCAAACTGACAGCTGTCCCCTGGCATGAAATAAAGGCACATCCTCTTCTCTTACTGTTGCAAGGGCTCCATCATTTGCCTTCGAGTTAAGAAATGAAACAACCTTTGGAAGCTGCTGCACTGAAGAAAAATAACAGCATTTCACAGCAGTGTTCGGGTGTTTTATGCTGTTCCTCCGCGTAGCGACAGATGTCTGTCCCTTGCAAGTGTTGCATTGCTGATGATTTCAATTTTTAAACAGTTGCAGCAGCTTCCAAAAGGACATGTGTGCAGTTACCTGTGGTGCCGTTGTAAATTGTGTGGGTATCTGGATTCCTGGAGGCTGATTGCTGTTAGTGTCAGGCGGTACGCTGTGCAGGCTGTTCCTTACAGGAAGATTCAATGGTGCACCTCGTGAAGCATGGCATGACCAGGTAGAGACATGTACTAGCCTAAGACAACCAACAGTTGCTGTCAACACAGTTGAGTTGTGTTCAAGGAAGACTGAAATGCATATAAATTTGTGAGCCGTAGTGTTGGGAGTTGCCTGTCGCATACAGAGCGCTCCCTCGTTGGCACGCTGTAGCGTGGCACGTGCTGCTTGGAGCTGCGTATTCTCCAGTCTTTGGTTTCACTGTGGCCAGGCATTATTCCCTTTTAATTCTCGTACACAAGATTCTTTCTTAGCAGCAGATTCCCATGCGTCTAGCATGATCTAGAAAATCCTGCTCTGAAAGGTTTTTTTTTTTGTGGAAGAAGGTACAGATGAGCTGATTTATTCTGTCCCCACTTGGTGGTGTGTCACTAAATGCAGGTCAGGCCAGACAGACGGGCGGGTGATTAGACTGCCCTGCTTTCTTAATAGGATCCTGTTTACTTAAAGCTTTCCACTGGAGGGGAAACAACCAAGCAGAGAGCAGCAGGCACAGCTCTATGGGGGAAGAAAAAGCACTTCTGACAAGCTCATTGTAAGTTGCTAACCTTAAGTACGTCCAGAAACTCACTTTGGTTGTGTGGCGTTTTTTTTTCCTTTCTGCAGAAAAATGGCAGTCGACTACTTTATGCATGAGAAGATCTGGTTTGAGAAATACAAGTATGATGATGCTGAGAGAAGATACTACGAGCAGATGAACGGGCCAGTTAGCAGCTCTTCGCACCAGCAGGTAATGCTCATTCTCAGATGGGGTTTAGCGGAGTGCTGGAGCTTTAAGAGCTAGCGCAGAACAGGCAAAAGGACATGATCCACCAGGATGTGCACTTTTGTATTATTTCCGCTCTTGGTACTGCTTTTTCCAAGTGTGCGAGTATTCTCTGGAGCTCTCTAAGCCTACCCCCAGTTATGACCCCTTTTGCCTTTTGAAAGACCATCTTCTGTGGACTGTGAAGAATTTCTCCCGTACAACCAGCGTACTGGGAGATCAGATGCCCTTGTAACAACAGGTGAACCGATTACAGGTTGCAGCAGTTACTCTTAATTTTTTCAGGCAGCTGTAGCAGGGCGCAAAAGCTATCTGTGATCTAACGGGGGCACAGTTTGAGCTGTAAGCCCCGAGGGCTATGGTTCTGTTGACTGGACCGGGTGATACGCTGTGCCAAGAATTGACCTGTCCCCATTCAACCAGGGAAGATGCTGCTTAGCTGCCATTTTGAAGCAACTAAGCTTTCCTTGGCAAGGGGTATATACTAGGTATACAAGATATTCTTGATGTTTGAAGAGAGGCACCATGGCTCCAAAGAGACCAGGAATTATGTTCCTCTCTTTATACCCCTTGAAATATTCGGTGTGCTTCTGCAGGAGATGGCATCACAGTACTGGTGAGCTGGGGGAAGCATGGTGCTGCTGCTGCAGCACACCTAAGCTGAAGTAGTTCAAGCTTAAATATTAGGCTGAAATTATTACTATTTAAAGGTACAGAGCTATTGTAGCCTCTTCCTGCCACGTAAAGAGCTGTTAACTGCTTCTGCATTTGGTTGGTTATGTAGAAAGCTGCTCAGAGTTTTAAATGAGTGTCTTGCGAGTGTATAAGGGGAAGCTTTTTGCTTCAGTAATAGCTTCTAGGCACACTCTGTCTGTTCCTCCTGCCCGTGCTAGCATAGCGGTGTGCACAGCACCAAGGACATGTGCATAAAAATTAGAAGCTGTAGATAAGTGCTTGAAGCAGATGTTAAAGTGCAAACCTCTGCAGTGCTCTTAGAGCAGTTAGACTGTTTCATGCCACGTGAAGAGCTTCCAGTGAAGATCTGCCTTTTGAGAGGTGGTGTGAAGGCTCTGGGGGAGATTCTGCAGCGGTTTATTGGCCACTTCTCTGCTAAGGAAAAAGATCCACGCTCCTTAAAACCTTCCTGCAACCTGGAAGTGGTATCCACGTGAACGTGTCCAGGCTGCTGCCCTTCTGGGGTCTATTTGACGTGGGGTTTTGGGCTTGTGGGCAGTTTCATGTCTCAGATCTTGCGTGTGGGGGTGGCAGTCTGGGAGAGACAAGGAGTGAATGGATCACGGAAACTGAATTTGGGCACTAGGAAGGGAATCTTCAAATCCAGGCTAAAGCGTGGCAGCAGCAACATGGAGGGGGTGGGGGAATCCTGTTCTGCCGTACTCTGGGTCATACCTCTCTGAATAGAGGACTTCAGTGAGGGCTGTCGCTTGCCTGAATACAGTGACAGGTGACAGTAGGAAAAAGGGCTGCCTAAGGATAGATCTCGGACTACTGAAGTGACTCCAACCCTCTGCCTGGCTGGCAGCTATCCAGACCGCTCAGGGTCATAATAAAGGATTTAAAAGCTTTTGACTGGATGATCTTCTGGACACGTGGCCTGATGTGACCAGGATTTGCAGTCGGTGCTGCTTGATTTAGAACCAATCCTTCTTGCAGCTAATTTTGCAATACTTGCTGAATCATTGGAAGGAACCCTCCCCGACTCTAACCCCCCCCGACTCTAACCCCCCCCCCTTTTTTTTTTTTTAAACTTCCCTGACCAGTTTCCGATGTTTCATATAGTTTTTAAAAAAAATCTTGGTTCTTTCTGCACTGTTTGCAGGAGAACGGAGCCAGCACGATCCTACGCGACATTGCCAGAGCCAGGGAGAATATCCAGAAATCGCTGGCCGGAGTGAGTACCCAAGCTCTCTCACCAGCTGGCTACCTGCAACCATTTTTAGCTGTGGTGCATCTCACAGAACTCCGCTGTGACCACTTCATAGATTGTGTGGCTTCTTATTTTTAAGTTAGAGGAGAAGACTAAGGTGTGCAGCGCTGTGTACCACCAGCGTAGCTCCATCTGATCAAGAGCACCGTTGCTACTAGAGTGCATGCTGCTTACCCGCTTGCTAGCTTGCAGTGCTTTTTAAAACTAACTGAATTCGGGTTAAAATTCTTCAACTGTGCATTTCTTTTCTTTCTCCTGGTGGAATGTTCCCACAAGTCTTATCTAACAGGTTCCGAGTCACTGTGAAAATAACCTGGCTGGGTAGCAAAGCACTGAGCTGCCAGGGGGAGTCTGTATGTCTCTCTTGGGGTACACTGAGCTGCCACCTTCTCTTTCCTGTTTTGCTTTCGGTTAGGGTATGTGCAAAAAAATGCTCTCTTCCATCTGCTGCATCTAGGGAATTCAGCTTGGCTGCTAGCTCTAAGGCTGGACCATCCTGTAGAAGTTCAGTAACCTCCTTTCTGGAGGTGTTTTTTTGCTGACATGTACAGCCAGCACCGTTAAAAACTCTTTAATTTTTCGAGAGGAAGCTGAGATCTTAATAAGTGGGCTGGTTTCATGGGTGAAGAAAATTCACAGAATACAGCCCATGTGTCTTGATTTCTTACCTCTGCAGTGGGACTACTACATACTTGCACACATCTTCCATCTGAGGGTATCCATCCTTTAGACTGATTTGGCCTCATAACTCCCTCTTTGGGGTATGTAACACCCTCAGTTTCTATCTAGATCAGTACAATAACAGGGAATCGAGCCTTTCACAAGGGGAATATTTCATATTCCTCCTCAACACAAGCAGAAAGGAGCCATACATTTAGGGTGAATGCGAAGGAATTAGGCTAATTGCTTTCCCCATGGTGGTCTCGCTCTGCCTGTTGAACTCCACACCACAAAAGCAACTTCTGCAGCCGCTCATGTGAGCCATCCAAGATACTCAGTACCGCACTGGAAACTTGGAAGTAGATGCAGGAAGAGCAGGGCAAATTTGATGAAAGGATTAAATTTGTGTTGGTTAGATTCAGCGACCCTGAATACAGCTTGAATACAGCATGGAAAGTTGGGATGTCTGAGTAGTATTAAAAATAAACCAAAACTTGTTGAGGAGGAAAATACTTGGATGTTTTCTAATGCTAGTTTCTTATTTCAGCATCAGTATGTCAGCCGACAGCTTAGAGACGATTTTCCTGAACTGGCTCATTTAAGTTGAGATCTGAAGTAACACGTTTGGGCTTTGAGTGGAGACTATCACCCCCTGCTGAAGACTTTTAGTTTGGACTTTAGTAAGGCAAATACGTGGGGAAATGAGTCCCCATCCCAGACAGGGTTGGAGAACTTTTTGCATGGTGTTAAATGACTTTGGAAAGACTTTTTCCAACTGGGCAAGGTCTAGCATCAGCTGCTTTCTCCAAGACCTGCTTACTTCCAGGAGCAGAGGCTGGATGTGGTGAGTAGGGACAGGAAACCTAAATACAAATCACCTGGCAGTGCTGCTGGTCTGCCCTGAAGGCATCTTCTCATTTTGCAGAATGGTCTGTGGTTTGCCAAAGATGAGGAATTTCTTGCCCTGACCTGTGACTCCTGTCAGAGAGCTGCTTTATGTGAGTTTGGATTGTCCACGTCCTGTCATAGGGAAGACTGGGAGAACTGGCAAAGCACCAGACCAAAGCCAGAACAGAAATTTGAGAATATAAAGTCCTTTTCACCCCTGTGGCACTTGTTGGAGTTAGTGCTGAATATAAAAACATTCATCTGCTGGATTTTCTTTGTTCCTGTGAAGAAAGGTTGGTGGGCTTGAAGATTTAAGGTCAGGACTGAGCCATAGGGCCTTAAAACTGGCATCTGGGGCGTCGCAAAAAGTGGATTGGGACTCTCCGTTGAAGGCTTGTAGATAAAAGCGTTGTGTTACTGCATTAGGGGAAGCATTGTGCACCCTAATCTGCATTGCTGTCAGGGGCACTCTGTAATTTATCTAATTTCTAGCTGCCATTCTGCTTCCAAAATACACAGTTGCTTGGACAAGCAGAGCACATGGCAAGAGTGACCTCCTCCTTTCTGTTTTGTAATAACTGGTGGTGCGTTTCCTCAGCTTATACGATACCCTGGAGAGCTCACCTTTCCAGTTTTTCCGCACATTGCCACATCTCTGCCCTGGAACCTGAAGCCGTAAACCATGGTCAAGTCTTCTGTGTTAATGTGTGACTTGGAAAGACTGAGCTGTTGAGAAACGAGTCTGAAACATCAGCTTTTGTAGCTTGCATTTCTGAAGGATCACCTTTAATTTTGGACAGCCGTGGTATAAAGCAGGCTTGACTTTAGATCATGCTTAAACTTTTTTTTTATGTTTCAGAAAGCCAAATTTATGCTGTGTGATGGACAGAACAATAGTGAAGCATGTTTTTATAGTCAGGATTTAAGTCTTTCCTTCCACCTGAACATGCAGAGTTATTAGCAGTCTAAAGATGTAGCAAATGACGAGCTGGCTCTTAAAAGATGGGAAGATGGAAGATTAGTGCCTTCCTTTTGCTGTGAAATTCAGCTGAGGCTGGTTTCAGATCTGCTTCAGCTGGATAGCGTTGTTCTGAAATGTGTGAATGAGTGTTAGCAAGGATTGAGGCAGTGGTTTGTACCCTCAATGTACCCTGAAGGAGGGTACAAAGCTCTGATGCTGGAAACATTTGTTTGCACATACCTTTCATCCCGCTTTGCATGGTCATCTCTGCTTTAAACAGTCTCTCCAGTTGACATCTGCTCGATCGCTAATGCTTTCCTAGGCATAAAGTTGTTCACATGTGCGGTACTGCGGCTGGTGGCATTGAGACCGCAGGTGGTGAGAAATCTTACAGCTGGGGACCTGAGGCACGGAAAGGATCAGCTTGCCTGAGATCATAAGCAAGTCCAACAGAGCTGGTGACTGAACTCTCGCTTCTTATACCCTCCCTGGGGGCTGTAACGAAAGGGGTCTCGCTGGGTAGGCGGCTGGTGTGGGAGTCTGAAGCTCTGTTATTCCCCTCTCTGCCCGAGCTCCCTCTTACAAAGCCTCTGTGTTTGTGCGTTCCTGCCTGTGGGTTTCAAACAAGAAAAGTTCCCAGAAAACCTCTGATCTTGCTCAAGTGTTTGGAGACCGCATTCGGAAACACATCTGTGCGCGGGGAACGGTCGCACCTTCTGTAGGAAACCAGCGGAATCCATCCTGCTGGCCTTAGCTGGGGGAAAGCCTCTTCTAGTTCTTCAAGATCATTTCCCCACAGGTCAGTTTTGTCTATCTGACCATAGCTAAACTTTCTGTATTTCCAGAGCTCAGGTAGACCCACCTGAGGGGAAGGGTGTTGTATCTCTGCATGTGTGACACAAGTTTATTTTTTTTGGATGAAGCTCTGAGTGCTCTGGGAGCTCTAGACTGGAAAAAACCTATGTATCATGTCTGTCACACAGCTTGTGAGATCTGCGTGCTGTTCTTTGTAACTGGTTAACTCAAATTAAGGGAAAAGGGTTGGTAACTCCAGATACTTGAGGGAAGTGCCAGCTTTCCAGCCGTGTCCATTAGTTAGGCCTGACTTACCAAGGGAAGAGCTCTTAGCTGTCATTGTCCAGACAGCTTGCTTTCAGCCAGTATGTAGAAATGTAACCGTTGCCAACTTTTTCTTCATTAGTGTTCTTGTCTCTTGGTATTTACAGTATGTTTTAAACTCTAGAGAGGGCCAGATGTTGAAAGCTCTTTGAAGCTGAGGCTAGATTCTGTTTTCTACGCTTCATAAGCAAGAAGTCCTAAGGTTTTAATTTGCTTGGATGATTAAATTTATATGCAATCCTTGTGTGGTTCCGGGCTTGCTGAGTGCTTCTGCCCTGCAAAATATTTTTGAGTCGGTTGCAGCACCGGTCAGTGTATCACTAATGTGGGTTCAGCACAAAAACTATGGCTTAAGCTTAGAAAAAAGAAAAGTTTTAAGAGCTCCATCCACGAGACAGTGCTCAGGAAGTGGCTGAAGTGATGATCTGGAACTCCCCACCTTTGGGATTTTGAATTCCTGCCCTTGATAAAATTCACAAACACTTGTGTCGAGCTTCCTCTTGGCACAGCTGAGTCAGAAGAGGAAATAGTGCTTGGCTGTGCAGAGACAAAAACACCCTGGAAGCAGGGTGTAGCTTAGGTTGGTGACCACATCTCTAAAAGCTTGAAACATCCTCACCTCAGGGGAGAGCCCACAGTCTCATAAAGGCAACTTTTCCACAATTTCTGAACGTGTGGCTTGACCACCTCCCAGAATTGGGCGCTTGCTTCGACGTTGTGCCTTTTGCACTGTGCTTTATGAAGGTTATAGGTTCCCAAAGAATGACCGGCCCAGTTTGTGAAGACCTTTTAATCCCTTGTTTGCTTGAGCTTGGGGCAGGCAACCCTCTTTTCTTGCCAGCAACAGATGGCTGTGCTCAGGCTCACCCTGCCCTGGGATTGCCCAGGACTAACAAATAATGTCTGAATTCCTCAGGTGTTGACTTGAAATGCTTTCCTGTGCCGTGTCTGGGAGCGCTGTGAGCCCCCTTCGTGTTGTAAACCTCCCTTTTAAACAGGGGTGAAAAATACAGCATGGAGGAGCAAGTGAATCCTGGTTAGGATTAGCTTAGTGTATGTAATATGCTGAATCCGTTCATCCAGGTGCACAACACTGAACTATTTGCATTAATTTGGTGGATGTTTAACCTGTAAGTGCATCCAGGTTGTTAATTAATCTTGCCATTTCTGCAGAGACCTCATTAGCAACTGGCAGCTGCGAAAATCCCAGAGGTGAGAACTCCCCACCATGCTACCCAGATATCTGTGCTGCAGCTCCTCGAGTGCCTGTGCCAGCTGTGTGACTCCATACTGATGGGCAGGCGCGTACTTAAAAGCCCCACTGAGAATGCTGCCTCTCCTCTGGGCTTCGTTATCTGTATTTGCAACCTTAATGTCGTTTCACCTGCAGGCTCAATGTAAGCTGGCGAAGGAAGGGTGAAAAGGGAAGGAATTTGTGTGTTGTAGAGCTGTGCTTTAGGCTCTGTGCCATTCCCCGGGTGCTACGCACACCTTGACAAACAGCACCTGACAACACTATACAGCTAGGTTTGTATCCTAATGTTTTGTACTACTTAAAAGGTCTGCTGAAATAACAAAATGTCACTTTTTCCATGCTCTTCCTTGTTGAGAAATCTTCATGCAGAGCAGAGTGTTTCAAAGTCCTCTCACCTTGCTCTTGCAAGCCATAACTACACCCTTTTTGGGGAAAATGGCCATGATTTTCTCAAACTCTTCCTGTAAATGACGCAACCACAGAAGGCTGGCAGGTTTATCTTGAGCTGGAGGCCTCCTGCCAAGCTGTAGATGTTTTTCCTGCGGGACTACAGGGAGGAGCAGCGCTGACCACATTCTGTGTGAGACTCCAGGATGGCAGCTGACAAGTGTAAAGGTAGATGGCACTGCCTCAATTTAGATTTCTCATTTTTGAGGGGTTATTACTAGCAGGGAAGAGAAATGTGAAGGCATAGCTGGCTTCTGTGGCAAACGCTTCTGCTAAAGCTGAAAGCCAGGGTTTAAAAGGGGATTTTTCTGCAGCATCGAATAGGCGTAGCCATCTTGCAGCGTCTTGAACATCCAGTGTCGTGTGCAGGATAGCCAGTCGCCAGGGCAAGCGCAGAGCCTGCTGAAATGTTTCAGTATTTGGCTTGAAAATGTGACCGAGGCTTCAAGCTGCCGAATATCTGTGGTGCTTGCAGCTTAGCTGAATCAGCAGGCTGCTTTTGGGAAAAAAAAAAAAACACCCAGCTGCGTTATCTCTTTGCAGGTGACACAGCTCCTCTGTTTGATCATGAGTCTAAACAAGAAGTGCTTTTTCAAGGGGTGAGGATCGATGTGGCTATTGCCAGAATTCACTTTTCACTGAATTAACTTAGACCTTGGCCCTGATGGTGTAACTAGAACAGGGAGAGGTCAGGCAATGAGTTCACCTGAGCTTTAATTTTTGCCCTGGGTGCATAAGGCTAAGGACTAGCCTGGTGTGATGAGCCCACTGTGGCTAGCGGCCTCTGTTCTCAGTGGTGCGTGTGAGGATGGAAGCCCATGCAGGGGTCTCCCCAAGTTGGTTTGTTGTTCTACTCCTCTCCAGGAGACATGCGTTAGTGGTTATTGGGGATTTATTAAGAGTTTTGGTAACTTTGCGTGTGTTTCTGCATCTGTCAGGCATTAGGTTTTTATCTAATGACAGGAGAGCTAGCGGAGACCGTGGTGCGTGCGGCAGTAACGCGTGCCCCTGCTTCACCTCTGATTTTACAGATGGGGAGATGACTGAGACCACGCTCTAGACGTCTCAGTCTAGTTCTGCCACCCAGCTGCGTGACCTTGCTGCAGGCACCGAGATGTTTAACAAGAAGATGGCAGAGTTCATGGATCAATGTTTCTGTGCAGGCTTTGTTTGGTGTGTCGTTGGTGTGAGGCTGTATCTTGTCACTTAACGATTTGTCCTGCATGTGGATCTGCTTCCTGCGCCTCAACTGCCTCTTCCAGCATGAGTGAAATCCTTTTCTATCTTCCGTGTTGAACCAAACATCCCCCAAACCTTTTGCCCTTTGCAGCAGAAGACAGCTCCCCGTAGCAAAGAAGCTCCTTCTGCCCGTCACAAGAGGCAATCGGGCCGCTCAACTGTAAGTCACCTGCGCATGGATGGAGCTGGTGGTGTGATTTGAGAGGACCTTGTAGGGCAAGGACAGCCCTGTCTGGGAGAGATGGACCAAGCTCTCCTTCCTTACGATGAGAAACGTTTGTCCTTTGGCGCGTGGCCGTAGCTCACCCTATGTGATAGGACCTTCTAGCAGGGCGTTTAGGTCTCCCAGCTTGATTTCCAGGGACTTGCAGATCTGCGCTCGCGTTCCTGAGCCTGCATCTACTGCAAAGGCTGCGTCGGAGATTGATTTTTGTGGTGCTTTTGACCTCTGGCCCCTGCCTCTTTTTGGGTGGGTGGAGAAGGGTTTCTTTGACCTTCCTGCTAGGAGCAGCTTGTGCTGCTCCGTGTGTTTCCCAGGGCCAGGAATCTCCTGGACCTGCTTTTCATGTGCCACATATTCTTCATCTTAACCCCTGTATTACCCTCTCTCCATCTTAAGTGACTGCTGAGATCTCAGCAGCGTGTCAACTGCAACTGAGAAGCACATAATTATATGCGAGGTGCACTTCAAGGGTGTAAATTACTTCTGTTGTTACAAATGACAATTAAAGCAAAGTGTGAAGGCCTGTTACTTTCCCTTTGCCGATTTGAATTTATAGATAAGGGCCTCCTTAAAAACCATGGAAGCTCTTTTTTTGCTGTTAAAACAAATACTTTTGAAGCCAGATTGGTATAATTGCTCCCTCAGGATGTGTTAAAGTAAGTTTACGTTGTTCTGAGAGGAATTAAAGGCTGGACCGGGGAAGGTGGGAGTACAGAAATGCCGGGATCTCTTTCCAGCTTTGACAGTGACTCGCTGTGTGACGTTAGGCAGGTCACTTCTGTGCTCCGTGCCTCAGTTTGTCTGTAAGAGGAGACCAGCTGCCCCGCTTAAGGGGTTTAGCGTAAAACTTTCAAAACTTTTTGTGTGTTCAGTGGTAGTCTGTGATCTGAGACTGCAAAGAATGACTTTATCCTTTGCTCATCAGTGCCAGCTGAAATTTCCCGAGGTAACGTTCCATGCTTCATCCTATAGAGCTAGTATATTCTTTTTATAAAGCCTTTAGAGAAAATGTCCTTGTTCTTAGATTAGCTCTCAAATTTTCTTCTTCCTTGAAGGCATGACTCTGCTTTGCTTCACTGAACCACTGAACCTGGGAGTAGGGGAACAGATTTGTTTCATCTCGGTTTTCCTTGTTGCAGAGTGCAAGCACAACCTCTTCTGGGCCTGGCGGTGACCAAAATGAACTCCTTTCCAGAATTTCTCACCTGGAGGTAGAAAATCAAAACCTTCGCAGTGGTAAGTAGGAGAATCTTCTGGCAAGAAAGCAAAAGTGGATGGGGTCCTGCTTCAGCGGGGTGTAGCCCTTACTGACTTTGTCTGTTGCCAGGTGAGCATGTGCCAGTGTCTCGATCAGAGCTTTGCAGGCTTCCCTCTGGCTGGGTCAACTGGTGTTTTTAAAGCTCGCTTTGAGCAGAAGCAAATTTGTCCTGACTTGAGAGCTGATGCAGAGCCTACAAGATAAGATTTGGTTGGTTTTTTTTTCCCCTTCCCCTCTTCTTGCAGTTGTTGCAGACCTTCAGATGGCCATCTTCAAGTTGGAAAGCCGCCTGAATGCTCTGGAGAAGTCATCTACCTCCCACCAGCCCTCACCGGTTCCTCCAACCCAGGTGAGCCTTGGCAAAGTGCTGTTCTCGAATGCTTCACAGTCACAAAGTGCCACGTTATTTCCGTGATCTCCTGGCTGTCTACTGAGGATGGAGAAATGCTCGTGGTTAGGATGAGTTTGCAGCCTTTCCAGCAGTTTTGGCAGCTGCCTCATCATCTTTCCCGAATAGTACACGTAGAGAGGAATGTTCTGCCCTAAGGCCAGCAAAGAAGCTACGTTAGAGACTTCAGCTAGGGAGAGCTGGTGCCGATATCTGGAAGTTTGGAGTTAATATGTACTTGATTAGGATTTAGCCCATGGTGCTGTGAGTTCCTTGGCACGCACCAGGCAGAATGCCACTTTGTTACAATAAATAAGCAGAATTGGTGATGCTTTTTTTAAACAAATATCCCCTATAAGAATGTATTTAAGAGAAAGCTCTATGGCTGAATGCGTGGCACCAATTCGATCGATTCTTGGTGCAGGTTGGAAGATGCGCTACCAGCGGTGCTGGTGGTGGGCTCTGCGGTAAGCCTACAGAATGCGTAGGCCCCCCCTCATGCGAAGGGAAGACGCTTGGTTGCGTTCCCAGCTGCTATCCCACTCGGACTTTTACGGCCTGGGTATCCTGAGGCCGTAGGAGAAGGATCAGCTCTTGGCTACGTTGTGGTTTTCACTCTAGGAATATAAGTACGGCCGTGCTGGACCAGTTCAAAGGTCCGTCTGGTCAAACATCCTATTTTGATGGCCGATAGCTGATTCTTCATACGAATGACATGGTGCAGGCCGTGTTCACTGCCGTGAGCAATGTAGACTTCTGTTCCTGAGCTTCTCTTGCGTGCTGCTGTCATTCACCTTCAGGTTAATCTTCTCCCCTTTTTCCTTAACGCAAACTTGAACGCACGTCACCCCAATGAAGAAAGTGGAACCGTTCAGCGTTCCCTCCAAGAAGGTGGAGCTCCCATCTGCTTCACCGGCAAAGAAAGCTGAGCCAGCTGCTGCAGAGGAAGATGACGATGATGACATCGACCTTTTTGGTAGTGACGATGAAGAAGAAGACCAAGAAGCTGCCAAAGTCCGGGAGGAGAGACTGCGACAGTACGCGGAGAAGAAGGCCAAGAAACCGGGTCTTATTGCCAAGTCTTCTATCCTCCTGGACGTGAAGCCAGTGAGTAACTGAAGTGGGGGGAGATCCCTCGGCGAGGTTGTGCGTCTTGTGCTGCAGGAGGCTGTAAATCATCCTGCTTCCGCATCCGAGTGGACCGGTGAAGATAGAACCTGCAGATTTCCAAACAAGGGGTCAGAGCGAGGTGGGATATCGCAGCTGGGAACTGCAGCCTTTGCGCTGCTGCCCTGCTCCTTGCGCCGAGGCAAGCGCGGGCTGTTATCGGAGGTTCCCCTGACCAGGACTAGCCCTTTTCTTTGAAGAAAAGGTAGATAATAAATGCCTTAAAGATGGGAATAAACCCGGCTTTGTCAAGTTGTCGTGGTAGAACAAAAGCTCTGGGCTGGCTAGCGCTCTGAGAGATGCCCTTTGGTAAAAGTCACTTTAAAGCGAGCCCTCCAAAGCGGTTGCGTCGCTGCGGGAAGAATCCCCCTTGCATCTGCAGCGCCTGTAGGTAGGAATCGAAACAACACCACGGTGCAGCATTGCTGCAAAGTCAGACGTAGCTTGGCTAATTCTGTGGAAAATATTAGCCAAGAAAAGGGCAGCTGGGATCAGCCGAAACGTACTGAGAGGCGTAGCGTTGAGTTTGAAGTCACTGGATACCTCTTGGGGCGAGGGGTGATCTCCGGGTGAACACTAAAAAGTTCACACTTCACGCTTTTGCAGTGGGACGATGAGACCGACATGGCGAAGATGGAGGAGTGCGTCCGGTCCATCCACATGGACGGGTTGGTGTGGGGAGCCTCCAAACTGGTCCCAGTAGGCTACGGCATTAAGAAACTCCAAATCCAGTGCGTCGTGGAGGATGACAAAGTTGGGACAGACATCCTGGAGGAGGAGATCACCAAGTTTGAAGACTACGTAAGTCTTTCAGCCAGCTGGGGGGTGCCTGACCTTGTGGGGTCACTTTTAACTACGGTTCATTTGCGGATTTTGGCAAACTTGGGTTTTTTAAAGAAAACCACATGGAATTGATGGTGTCTGCTGAGACACTTGCATAGTATATTGCAATATATATATTTTTTTAAGGCTGGCTGATGCAGATATCTTGCAGATATTTTGGGGAGGCGTTTTTGCAGGCTTTTGCTGCTCACCCAGCCCCCACCGACTGTTACTTTGGGCAACCCCTGCTTTTTACACTTAACCTGGGCAGCACCAGGGTGGGCACACAAATGTTTAACCGTGGTGGCCGGGGCTGGACGAGATATCTCCGTCCCCATCCTGCCTCCTTCCATGGAAATGACGGCAGGAGCTCCGGCCCCCGCTGCCAGTGATACGCAGGCTCAGTAACGCTCCCAGTCTTGTCGCTGGGAGAGCAGCAGGCCAGATACCGGGTTTTATTGATCTTCTTTGCCTACTCTTCTGTTTATATTTAATCAGGAACTCTAAGATTAGCGTTGCTAGAAACTCTTAATACAATGTTCTTCGTAGGCCGGACTGTCTAAAGATTTGTGCAGTAACTAGCACAGTGCGGTGTCCTGTTGTGACTGATTTTGCAAGCAACGTTAAATACCATTCCTTAAAGGTCCTCTTTAGGCCAGGGAGCTGGCCTAAGAGACCTGGGCCGTGCTTAATCTCTTTGAGCATCGCTAGGGCATGCTGTTGAAGAAATCCCTGCTTTTAAGTGTTTGAAAACACCTTGGTGACCCAGCTTGCTGCTTTTGTTCTCTTTCAGGTGCAGAGCGTTGACATTGCTGCTTTCAACAAGATCTAGAACCTAAAACTGTATCCGCTCTGAAACTGTAACGAATAAAGATCAAGATTGGGAGCGCGTGGTGTTTTTCTCTGCCGAGTGTCACTTCTCCAGAGCGATGCGTTGTCAGACTTGGGGATATTTCCCTTCGTAAAAGGAAAGGCCTCGAGACAGGAGTGACCTGCGTTTCTGGGTGGGAATTGAAGGTCTGAGCGGCATCCTGTCCGAGTGGGCTGTGCTAAGGGTGTCTGCAATCACCTTTCCCAAGGTAGAGATCCCAGTCAGGCTCTGCAAAAAAAAAAATAAATCAGGAAGCATCCAGGAATTACTGGTTTGGGGCTGAATTTCCTCCCTCTTTCCCCCTTGCTGCTCTTGATACCCTGCACAGGTCACTTCAGCCGATTGCTTGGTTCGTTAGGAGCCGGGGCTGTGGAAAGGGGAGGTGGCATTTCTGACCGTGGGCACACGCGGTCTGTCGCAATGCCAGAGGATCCGGGCTCAAGTTGCAGCGTGCCAACACTGAGCCGGATGGGAAGTGCCGTGGGGTTGTGCTGCAAGCGCTGGACGAAACCGCAGCAGCGGCAGCCTGGGCAGTACGTGGCAACCAAGTGACGATGACTCCGGTGCCAGCTTTCCCGGCTGCGCGCGGTGCGTGATGCGCAGGTGCCCAGGGTGTTGGGTATGGCTGGAGCCCGGCTGCTCTGTGCCTGGTGTGCGCCCTTGGGGTTGGGATGGAAAGTGCTGGGGTTGATGGACGCGGTGCCTGCTGTGGCCGCTGCCCCTTGCCCCTCCGGTGTTGGTGTAACCAGTGTTTTGTCCTGCCTGGTGTGTGGCACCGGTGCTGTGTTTGGTGTTGGGACACCTGGTGTGCGTGGTGCTGGGTGTGTGCACCGTGTCCCCTGCACTGGTGTGTTGCGTGCTGCCATCGCCAGAGCCCTGCCTGCCCGGTGTCCCCTGTGCCTGGTGTCCCCTGTGCCACCATCCCCAGAGCCCTGTGTGCCTGCTGTGCCGTGTCCCTCGTCCCCTGTGCCACCGTGCCCAGAGTCCCACGTGCCTGGTGCTGGCACAGCTGGGGCCATGTGTGCCCAGTGCTGGGTGCGCAGGGTCCCATGTGCCTGCTCCCCTGTGTGTCCCGTGTGCCGCCATCACTGGTGTCCTGTGCTGTGGGTGTCCTGTGTCCTCTATGTGCCGCCATCCCTGGTCCCCTGTGTGCTGCCATTCCTGGTGTCCTATGTCCCATGTGCCACCATCCCTGTGTGCCCTGTGTCCCCTGTGTGCCACCATCTTTGGTGCCCTGTGCCATGGGATGTCCCCTGTGCCACCATCCCTGTGTGCCCTATGTCCCATGTGCCACCATCCCTGGTGCCCTGTGTCCCCTGTGTGCCACCATACCTGGTGCCCTGTGTCTCACCATCCCTGGTACCCTGTGTCCCATGTGCCGCCATCCCTGTGTCCCCGGTGTGCCGCCATCCCTGGTGCCCTGTGTCCCCTCTGTGCCCTGTGTCCCCTGTGCCACCTTCCCTGCGTGCCCTGTGCCATCGGTGCCCTGTGTCCCCGGTGTGCCGCCATCCCCGGTGCGCTGTGCCATGGGATGTCCCCTGTGCCCTG